CTAAGCTCTTGATTTGTCACACAAATTATTATTATGATGAACTACTCATTGTCAGAATAGGTCGAATTGGGACAACTGAATTGTGGACCTTGGGGAAACCACAGAACAGTGGAATTGTTGATTTACGAGGTTTTAGTCTCTCAAATGTTTTGTTGTCTATGCATTGCTGTACATTTGACTTCTTCATCAAATCCATGAGGCCATCGTCCACCTTCTCTGCTTCAAACAATACCAATGCAGTTATTTTGTATTGAAATCACAGCTACTTGTGAATAGTTTCTACCCGTTTAACCTTAGGAGTGCTTCTTTGTTGACGCATCAGGGAACCGTGACGAATCTGTCGTTGAACTTCTTCTTCTTCTTCAGAGAGAGAGATTTTAACAAACCACAAAATTACACGATGTGTTCCAGGAACAATTTCTCTCTGCATCTCAACTGATGCTTACTGCCAAAAAACGTATTGATTTAGTATTGGTCGAGCACCTTGGATAGTAATAAGAGACACAGTCAGGGAGAACGACTATCGCGGACAGAGCCAACGGAACAGATAATTATGCCTACTGGCACAGGGTAGATTTTCATCGATTGATTCGCATCGCTTCCACGGCTCATAGTAATTGTCCGTTTCTGGCTGGTTGAATAAACATTAATAATTCTAAACGATAGATGGTGATCGACCTGGTTAGGTGCTGCTAATGGATGTCGCGCGATTGTCAGACTGTTTCCACTGTTTCCCTGATACATATATCTTGTTTGTTTTTTACGGCATTGTACACACCTAATGGAATGCAGCCAAATGAGTTCGGAAATACAGCGTGGTGTTTTGTTCAAATTTGAAAATAGAAGCCAGTGTAACAGCAACATGTCCTAGAGAATTTTGCTACAGCTCAACTGTTACCTACTGCGTTGCCTACTGACTTCTCTTTTCAAATTTATCACAGGAAAAGCTTGTTTCAGTTTCTTTAAACTATTCGCCCACCGATTCGTCTTCTTGATAATTATATAACTTGTTTTCAGTAATTGGTAATCGTGCAACTAAATACACCAAAAATAAATATAATAGTGTATATCTGTTCACGATTGTGTACAATCCACACGATATGTGTATGATGATATTCTGTGCGTGATCAACACGACATCAGGAACAAACGACCTGTTGAGCAAATTCAATGCGGCTCACTTTAGAAATGGAAAATAACAACGCACTGGCATTTATAGACATCTGAGAGTGGGTTTTAGCTCATTGGATGTCTCGGTGCAACGTGCAGTGAGTACAAAGGAAGGCACCCGCGAAGGGCCGATACATCCGTTTGCGCAGCATTGTACCGCTCAAAGTGAAGAGGAATTTGGTGTACTACCCAGCAGATAGAGCAAGGAAGAAGATGAGCTCCAGTTCTTGTGCACTATCTTAACACACACACAATGGTTATCCGGAACGACTTGTTAGCAAGATGATTCAGTGCAGTAGAGACAATGTGAAGAAAAGCGAGGTCAGAAAGAAGTCGGTACACATTGCCTTGTCATACAATGGGGATACATCAACAGAGATAAGACAGAGGAGGCTATCAGGTTTTGTCAGTAAAACCGTCTAAGCTCAATGTGTTTTTTTTCACATCAAGACATATTATGTGTTTACGACAGATGACAGATAAAATGCTTGATTGCGCCCTCGTATTTTGCGTGCATTCATTTACGCGTTCCTGTGGAACAACGTACATCGGCCGCACGGTTTAGACAAACGTTCGTTCGAACGAATCCGTGACCACCACTCCGCATGGGTAAATACTGGAACGATTAGGTCACTGAACACCTAGCTGAAAAAAATATACTGTGAATTTGACCGAGGCATTCCATCCCGGGTTCACGGTCGACGATCAAGGTAGGTTCTATGTAGTATGCTGGCCACAGTGGAAACGGTAGGAATTCGTTTGCACGACCCCCTCTGCGTGCTTCAAAAACCATTTGTACAGGC